GAACCTCAGCAAGGTCAACTTTTTGCTCTTCTAGGTACTGGGTCAGCACCTTGCAAGAAAGGTTCAGTCAAGACAGGTGACAATGTGTGAGTGGCAAGATCCAGCCAATCTTCTAATTAGAATCCTAGAATTGGTTCAAATCATCCAATTATCTAATACATCTCCAATCAGTTTGAGATCCTAAGTGACTCTGAAGAGTTTGGGCCACTTTATTCGATACACACACGCACACACACACATTCCTTGGATTTTTATTCCCTCATCATGTGCAGTGTTTCTAAACAATCCACACATCGTGAATACCCATGAAAAATTATTTCTAATATCCATGATGCTAATTAAAAGGCAGCCTCTGGTGTTTATCAAAGATATCTAGAGCATACATTTGGAACGTGAGCTTCTGACTGGAGTCTCTCAAGTGGCAACCAGTCAACCCTGGAGGGTGTATTCCCAATTCGGATACTACAACGTTAACTTTAGGCACCTAGCATGTAAATTAAAGCTAACACATGTATACTACACTGTGCTGAAGTATTTTGAAATGCAAGTAATATATAAGAAGACAGTGATTTAAACTTTTAAATAATTTTCTAAATTATAAAAGCAATGCATGCTTCTTGTAAAAAATGTGGGGAAATATATACTGACATATGTTGAAATTATTCATGTTCTATACCCAGAGATAACTTTCAACATTTAAACCTTTTTCATAGATGAATAGATAGGTAGGTAGACAGATAGATAGACAGATAGACAGACAGATATGTAGGTATTTTTACCTGTATATAAAATGTATTGCTTTGAACTGAAGGATAATTTTGATCACATTGTATATTCAGCTTTGAATCTGCTTCTGTGGCTTAATAGATCATGGTAATTTTTCTGGTTCGTACAGTGATCTTTATAAATGTGAATTTCATTGGTTAAGACAGATGTAGTAGTTGTTTAGGAGGAGGAGTTGGCCAACTTGGCCAAGGAGTTGGATGTTGGGGTTGAGGGAGAGGTACTCAGGGCTGACTCTTATATACCTGGGTTGAAAGGTGGGGGGGGGTATCTCTTTCACCAGACTGTAGTGGAGGGAAACAGAGGAGGAGATGCTTTTCCAACTTGATGCATCAATATTTGCATATGCTTGGGATGTAATTTCCAGCCCACCTCCTGTTTCTTCCTTCCATTTTGTGTTGATTCCTATGTTGACTTCCTGAAGTAACTTCTGATTTAAGTTGAGATTTTTCTTTAAAATATATTTTCCCTGGGCTCGGTGGCTCAGCCTGTAATCCCGCGCCTTTGGGAGACTGAGGTGAGTGGATGG